TGATTTTTTAACGAATTATCTTAATGATATTTCGTGTTATACATCTTTTAATCTTTTACTTGTAAATAGTTTTCTATTTATATTATTACCTGTATTAGTGTAATGTTTATATGTTTAGTGTGGTTTTTGTGCGTTGTTGCTCAGGGCTCCTATTGATAACAGACAGCTTTTTGCGTCTGAAAGGGCTACCCTGAGCGGTATAAATTAATAAAGGCTAAAATAAAAAACAACGAGCAAAAAAGTATCTCGTGCATTATGATATCAATATGCTTCTATCATAACAGTGTCGCCATGAATCATTAAGACTACAGGTTTGAGTGTTCCCGAATGATCTTAAGTTCTAAACCCTCTTTTGCCCGGCGTCAAAAATCTTTTGCACAGAGTATAATTATTTTCCACCTTAGCGGGTGACTAGTTTCTGAGTTTAGCGGTACTCGACCGTTTGACGACATAATAACAACAAAAACTTTGCTTTTATTTTTTTAAAGGAACTGTGAAACTTAAAATTTATCGAGACACAGACTCGCACACTTTTCTTACTTTTTGTTTTTCTTCATTTGCCTCAAAATGTCTGGAACCGCTGATCTGGAAGCAAACCGACACAAGCTCTTCAAAACGACAACAACATGTTTTGAACACCACTTTTTCAAAAAAAAATTAATTGCAGTCGCAGTACATTGGACAAGAAAACGTGAAGTAAATTTACATAACGCCATCAACAGCGTGTTAGGCTCAGAGAGCTCAATTACTTTGTAGAAAACATATAGCATGTGAAGCCCACATCTGATTGGACACTCCCGATGTGTTTTCAACCTTCCGTGCAGAAATTTGGTGAAACATTTGATTCATGAAAAAGTTCATACATATCCACATTCATGTGACATTTTTTCTTATACCTTTCTTGATGTACTGATAATGAACCTGTTCCTGAAATGGTAGCTCTAAAAAGTTTACCCACGAACTCATTACTGCTACCTTGAAAGAAAGAACAACATGAACATTGGATTGTTATTTTAAGACTGGCGTGGATCATCAATGATTTCTTTCAAAGATAGTTCAGTTGGGAAAGAATACAACCACATGACTGGAAGGTCTAATGCTGCAAATTCTCGCAGTGGGTATAATTTTTCCCCCATGCTCATGCAAACATATTACATCTTTCTTTGTCTTCTCCATATTTATTCATACTTTTGCGGTTGTGATCATAACTTACCCAATGGATATTAAAAATTTGTGTGAACTCCGCAAACCAGTGACTCTTTCTGTTTTGTATCACCCTCAATTGTTCAAGTTTGTTGTCAGCAAAAACCAGCCGAATGCACTGGGTATTACAGTTCAGTGCTCAGTCGATCATTTAACTATTAGTGGCGTCATACAAGTATTAAAAAAAATGAATGGTCCGTGCATGTTAGTTGGAAAAATAATTTGTCGTGAGTCATGGTTTGTGTAACCATCATTATACCCTTTATCGAAAATTTTGCTTCTTGGGAAAGAGAAATAAATAGGTCGAATGTTATGTTTGATAGATTGTCAGTCTAGTAGTTTGAGATAAATCTTGTTCAAGAAGAAACTATTAAATGCTGAGGAAGTACAACGTAATTAATGATGAACGAATCTGCCTGACTACTTCTCCTACCAAGTGCTGACTGTACCTTGCATGCAGTTCAGAAGACTTGGATCCAGCATTTCTCTGTTACTGTTTATGAAACCCTGTGCCACATAAGTCACCTACAAGTAAGATATTAATTAAATACTCTGGAACTTCTGGTATGTGTTCTATAACCCTTAAATTCCAAAGATCTAATTCGCATTGCTCACTTCTGACGGTGATACAGTTCCTTGTAAATTAGACACAAGAATTTGGTGTACTAGCAAGATAACACCCTCTAGCTGATTTGCTTGTCTGTTCTCACTACTTGTTTGCAAGTTAGGTAACACATTGAAATTTCAAGAAGAATTTACATGTAGATCACGTCTGGGAGTTAAAGGGTTATTAAAGAAGACAGAATTAACTAAATATCTACCTTTAAGCTCTGGCAAAAATCACCTACAAATAATCCAACTCTACTGATAGGTAAGCACCAGCTAATAATTATCACACCATGTAAATCAAAATTACATTTTAATTTTATTTATAATAATAATAATAATAATAATAATAATAATAATAATAATACACTTTATTTAGAGAGGGTAGCATGGAATAGTAAAAGTAACTAATAAACTTGTAGCCCTCCATTTAAAAAATTCTTACAAGGAATGTATGTTGAATTCTAACATAACTATCAACAAAAACTAGGAATATTTATCTAATAAGAGGACGCAGAGAGCAAATGATGAATCAGATGTGTAAATTCACTCAATTTACACTACAAAATAGACAAAAAAATACTTTCTTATCCTAACAACTTACAGCAGCAGTATAATGCCTTATGGTGAAGGAAGGATAAGGCAATCTAGCCATCTCATAATTGGAGTGCTTCCGATTAGCAGAGCTGCATTTTTTAACGAAAGCTGCATCAGTGGACAATGTTTTGCTTTCATCTTCCAAAATTGGCAGCAACCCTTGGGGTGGCTGAGATTGTAAAAATATTGTAATGCATGATTAACACTTACAAATAATTATTAGATAAATAAATAAATAAATAAATAAATAAATTGTTTTCAGAACAACCATACTTGCGGCAATTAATGCTGAATTGCCAGTTGTTAAGGTTGCATTGAGATCGGACGTCTGCATATCAGGTGCCTCTGGCAGCCGCTTCAATCCATGTATTGATCTCACCTTTCCCCCATCCCACCCCAGGGGAGGACATCCACCACACAGTAATCTCGTGCGTGGGAAATTAACGTCACCTACCCCTAAACCTGCAGGAGATGGGACCTACAGTTTATTCGTCCTTATCCGAGAAAACTAGCACATTCTCCTCAGTTATGTTAAGACCCTGAGTGTTGGTCCGGCCGGGGCTTGAACCCTCGACCTCCCACACAACAGTCTGGCGCTCTACCAACTGAGCTAACCAGGAGGCCGTTAATCAATTCCATTGCTCACATGGAAAGAAGCAGGAATCATTAAAAGGAGCCTGTGACTGAGTCAACCCTTAACTTTCGAGTATATCTATATTCAGAAGGCCTTTTTACCAACAAAGACAACCATATTTTCCTTGAGTTGACCATAAATCTCAAAACTCCATCTTGCTACTACAATATTCAAAATGTGCTGTAAATTATACAAAGAGTTCTCCAGCATGTTGACATTCCATTTAATTTATGACTAAACCTCTCGGGTGAGGTATTTAAGTTAATATATGAATCAAAACAACACAAAATATTACACTTACATTAAGCAAAAGGTCAACAACTTTCTTGTTATCATAATAAGATATCTTTTGACTCTTAAGGCCTTCAGATTCGAGCTCTACCTATAAACACAGATAACATTAAATAACAATGAACTTAAAGTCAAATCAAGATAATCCTTGATTAACTGTCCAATTGATCTTGTTTTGTATTTTATTTGAAAAACTTTAGGCATAGAAAGGTTATACTACAAAACAAACCAAAGCAACTTTGGTCTCTGAGATGACAAGTTCTTACATTTGTACTCATGTAGGTTACATGCAGGCACAAAGCCAATCACATTGCTAACACTTTTAGATCAGTTCAATGATTAATCTATGATATTCATCACTGACAGTGTTTCTGGTCATCCATGATTTGAAATCCTGGGTTTTTCAAGTCCTGCTAAGAGTCAGTCATAATGATTACATGAGTTGATTACCTGTTCCCAAGCAAAAACACGCTGGTTGTAAAAATGCATCAACTGTTCATTTGCAGTGTTAATACACAGTTGCTGAAGACCATTAATTTCACACTTTTCAAATCCAAACACATCAAGCAGTCCAAGGGATGGGCCTGTGTAATCCCTGCCAGTAAAGAAATAAAATAAATATTAAAAAAATATTAAATAAATATTAAAACTAACAAATAGTCGTTTGTAAGTACTAACTTGAGAATTGACCAAATCAATAAACGTTTGATGAGAAAAATATCATTCATTTAATAAAAATTGTTAAAAATTTTGAAATGCCTTTCAAATAAGTAGCTGCTGCAATAACTTCTTCCTTCCCTGAAAAGCACTAGAACAGAAATTTCATTATTAGTTATTACCTTAGTTCATTATCTTTATCTCTCAAACAGCTGTTAACTTTCAACACCACCCAGCCAAACAAACGACTGTACAGCATCTTGGCCAAGTTGTCACGCCCTTAATTTGCCAGATTGACAGACTTGTGCACTGAAAACTTCTCACCTTTAGGGATCATAAAATAACAACATTTATCCAAAGTACTGGGACTTAAAACCTATTAGTAATGGCCACAAAAGTAATAATGAAGTCTGCACCATATACAGCCATGTGGCCCACAGAATATCATTCAGCTCATTGCAGTCTACAAAGTGTGTGAAGCAAGTAGGGCTGGAGTGTTTTCAGTCCCCTTGGATGGGATACCAATTCGAGACAGTTTTAAGTTACCCCAAGCATTTTATCAGGCTTCCCTAACAGCTGGCCAGATCCCATTTACACTCTTTGATAAAGAGACACACCGAGAGAGCACCCAAAAAACATGGTAGACAAGCCCTGCACAGGTCTAAAAACCCAACCTTTCAACATTGAGTCCAATACCATGCTAATAATTGGACAATTGCATCTCCCAAATAATTTTTTATCTTAAGCTGTTGAAATTTGGTATTTCTGTTTCATTCATTAACTTTTTCACCCTTGGCTGGTAATTTCTCAGTGAGAGCACATTTAATTGTTTAATTGTAATTCATACATGCATGGTAAGGTTCTCAAATGTTTTTCAAAGTTTCATCACATTCAAGTGGTTAAAAAAAATCTAACAATTTATGTTTTTTTTTCCTCTGAGTTATACATCAGTCATAGTTGATGCCAATTTCAGCTAACATGTGTCATGTGTATAAATTATATTAAAAAACAAAGCTATAGGAAAGTTACCTTTTCGGTAGGTGATTCCCTTTATTAGAGACTCGCCCATATCATCCTCTGACATCCCAAGAAGTGAACTAGCTGCAAACCAGCAATACATAACCACATGAGAATAAAAAGAAAGAATTAACAATCTTTTATGATTTAGCTAAAATGGATGTTCCCCATTACGTTAACATTCCTTAAATACAGGTTCAGCAAATAGAAGTTCCAAATAATTTGAGAATCACTTCAACCTCATGTTCACCCACTCACTCCCACCATTGTCCAGAACCACCTTGAAGTGAATAATATTCTTACCACATTTCACAGGCTGAGGATCTTTCACAAATGCTGAGTTTGTTTGTGGGTTTGCTGAACTGAATGCAATATTTCCAATGTGAAGAATAGCAGCTAAACACTTTAAGATGTTGAGAATTTCCTATTGAAAGAATTCATAATTTGATATATCATGACACATCAATTAATATATCACAGGTAAGTTAAATAAATTAAATGAATTTTAGTGACTTCACCAATTCGGTAGCAAAATCTTTATTGTCAACATTCCTGATCCATTTTCATAATTTTCTATCTAATGAATTGATAGCCAAATGTATTGGTTGACTTCTTTGATGTTTTGCTTGTCTTCTGCCATGCAGAACACAAGTGAAACATTAAATGAAACTGGTGCCCAATATGCTATCGTTGGGTACCAGTACCTCTCAGAACATTAAATGAAACTGGTGCCCAATATGCTATCGTTGGGTACCAGTACCTCTCAGAACAGGAGTCAGTAACTATCATTCTTCAAAAGAGTTTTTTTTAAAAAAAAAAAATCTGCTCATACCAGTCACTGAGCTATTTGAATTTCTTTTCATGACGCAAAAAGAAAGTGTCCTTAATGTAGTTACTGAAATGAGACCAGAGATAATCATTATGACACCATGTTAAGCTATATACTTAACCCTAGCTAGCATAGGTATTCACAGAATAAAGTCTTGAATAATGTATTTATTTACCTCTTTAGTAAAGCCAACAGACTCCATACACTTTAACAGCTCCATATACTTCTTCCCTAGGATTTCCTTGCTGGTCTTATCCTCTGGAGGAACTGCAGATGGGTCATAGGAGAGGTACCTGGATGCAAAGAAAAACAGGAGGGGATTTCAAGATTATATATACTGGCTGTTATTTAGTTCTTATTAACCAAGTGGGAGGTCTGTATGGGAGAATCTTGACCGAGGTCGCCAACTTTCAACTTTCAACTTTACTTTAGTTAGCACTCAGGTTTTAGTTACAATATTAACATAAAAAAAGGAAAGGATATACATATGTAAAAAATTAAAGGTAACAGTGTTCCATATTTTGTGCATGGAGGCTAAGAAAACTGTGAGGTTATCAAGTCAGCCTCCATCATTACAGACTGAAAGCAGTGAGGTCTGTACCAGCAACTGAGGTCAAGATTCTCCCATACAGACCGACCTAGCTCAGTTAATAAGATGTTTATTATATGGCTGTGTCTTATACGTCAATTTTTTTTATTCTTTGAAACTTTTTTTTCTAGACCGGTCTAGATGGGAAAATCTAGACTGCTTTCAATATTGTTTTCAGCCAATCAAATTCATGAATTCTGTAGTTTCCATGCAGTCCTTGTGAGACACAGCCATATGATAATTGGTAAAATATTGACTTCTTGACAATTAACTGATAAAAATTAGAAACATTATTTATCTGGTTGTGACCTATAAATTAGTGTATGAGCGAGGAATGTTGATCGCCTCTGATAATTACTATACTTATTATCT